ATGTTTTAGATAATCACGAACAATGGTCTTCAGCTTAGTTCTGTTCCTTTGGTGCAGAGGAGAATGTGACATAAACAGCATTCGAGCTTCGATCGAGCTTAAATTCTTCAAGGATAAGGACCGCGTCGTCGAGACATATTGCCCATTGCGCAAAATTTTTCTACGCATATCTACCCTTTCGAGCAATGAGTTAAAAATTAAGTTAACAATTTTAACACCTCAAATTCAAGAAATTTCATTGTACCTACATCATAATACATAGGTACAACAAATAATAAAAAGGTACCTACATCACATTTTTAATATTGTTACCTATATATAACATTACACGTACCAAACATAAAATAAAACACTTTCGTTTTTAAGATATAAAATGGTTTATTGGTATTAATTTTATACTATTAGAGAAAACACTGTTGATACTCGATAAAGGCCTTATTGTCGATCTTCATTGAAATAAAACAGGAAAATTTCCAATATACATTTAGAAATGAAAGTCTATTATTATATTCTTCTATCCTCAATTGTTACCGCCGGTCTCCTCTCCAAACTGAAATATATAATAATAATACATTTATGTTATTGTATTATACAGAATCCATCCATCCAGATGGACGATCCATCAAAAATGTCGTAAAAAGATTGACGCCCTTGAGATGTGGTGCTGGAGACGCTTGCTGAGGGTAAAATGGACTGCTCACCGCACTAATGTATCCATCCTCAAAGAGCTCCAAATCAAACAAAGGCTTTCGTCGATTGTGCAATTGCGAATCCTTAATATGTTTAGACATATCATTCGTAATGAAAGGTCATTGGAACGTTTAGTGGTTCAAGGAAGAGTAGACGGTCAACGCTCTCGCGGCCGATCACCCACAAGGTGGACAGACTTGGTTAAGTTGTCTACGAAGTGTTCCCTTACTGAGTGTACACGTACCGCCACAAATAGAGAAAGATGGAGAAGTCTCTCAAAAGCCGCAACCAAATATTAAGACTTACGTAACCACGACCACTCCGCCAGGAGTGAACGACTGAGAAGAAGAATTATACAGAAAGGACATCAGTTTGAACAGAAAATTCGAATAGTAGTGACATAAAATGAAAAAAAGAAAAAAAATACAGAGCTACATTAAAAAAACAAGACAAAATACATTTAAAAAATAAATGACAAAATTAGTCTTCTTAAATGCTGCTTTAACTTATTACATTAAAATGAAATGAGACTATTTTAGTTAAACGATGTGAAATCGTAACTAAAACAATCCATTTAAACAACTGATGGGTACTAGAAACATACACAAGACGAGAATATGCACTGTAATAAAAAATAACTGCAATCATGATTCGAACCAGATAGCCTCAGTAGCTCGTGGAGGTATTGTCTGCATACCCTCATTTTTCAATTAATAGCAAATTAACCTTGAATGATATATGATTTAATGATCATAAATTTCAAATCCATTATATTCGTACCCATTTCATAAATATACAGTAGTACGTCAAATTTAAACCCATGCATACCAAATTGTTGAGAGTCAAGATGGCGATACCGATCCGTGCACACAAAACTGACACTATCACACTATATAAAATATTATTTCTCAACATTTTAGATTTTATCGTGTTCAATTAAAAGCTGTCTTTGACATTAACAAGAGCAATTACAGATCAAAAAGACCCCAGTCGTATCTCGTTACTCAGAAAGTCAGAACATCTGAACCCTTTAAGGGAGTCTTCAATATATCAACGTCGTTGGGTACAAACGCTACTTTCCCATAGCTATGCAGGATGAATGGCTCTCTTTAACCAAGCCTATTTCGGGACAACGCGACATCGAGTGCTATAATCAGTGTCGTTTATATAAATGTGAACACAACTCGTAAATATACAAGCCGTAAGAGGATTGTTCTCGGAATAGAAATGTAAGTAAACGCTACAAACACGGAAAACAATATTAATTCACTAAGCTAAGGAAAACAAGTACTTACTCTTTGATAAATTCATATTTAGGGTATCAGCGCCAGAATGCTTTCTCTTTATTTTTACAAGTAATTCTACAAATTGAGGCCAATCAATCCAGTAAATGAAAAATAATGAAAAAAATATACCATCTTTCATTTTGTTAGTCAAAGAAGGTAACATTTTGAATAATTAAATGTAGTTCTATGTATGAAATTTTGTAAAGATAATTAATAGGTATATTCAATTTAAAATCGTACAATTCTAAATTCAGTATGCACCTGTAGCTACGTATTTCTTGAATTTAGTTTCATAACTCAAACGGCACAGTATTTAATGATAGCAGTGGAACAGGCGTCATGCTAACAGCGGAACACGTGGTATCAAGATAACATCTAAACGTCATCATTTCTATAAAAGTATCGTTCGCTATAAAGCAACAAGGTTTCCTAAAACGTACAGTTTTATTTTACTTCACTGCAAACTCGTTCACGGCCCACTTGATGTATCAGAGTTGTTACCCGGGCTTATAGACATCACAACATGAATGCCTCCACGCACTTTTATACCTGAGATCGATATTTCAAAAATGGATTCTGTAATTCTTGTCCCGCTTTTCAAATCGGGACACGTAGTGATACATCAGCAATCACTTTGCAGAAACAGGCTGGATAATGGTACCGGCCCATGTAAACTTACAATATAGTATTTACCTAATACCAGTAAATGCCGGTTGTTGATCGCAGTACGCTGGTATAATTTTTAGAGGGGTCCGATAGATTCCATAGTCGTCTTTACGATGCCCATAGGAATAGATGGGGAGGCAATATTCCAGACTCAATAGCACAACGAGGGAAATTAGGAAAGTATTTTTATAACAGAAAAGGCAAGACCAATAAATTTAAATATTATTAAAATCGACATTTGCCGATAGATTATTAACAGTATTCGTTCTAAAAATGACTATTTCTTTACCAAAGGCTACGTCTGTTTCTTTGGAACGAATAGGCAATATATTTTTTTCTACCTAAGCTGATAGCCGTGAGAGGCTATTTCAGCGTAACCTTAACTAGTAGATGAGCTCACGGGGCTCAAACCGGTATGATGTTAACACTGACCCTAACAAGAGCAGTGCTTCGTAGAATCTACCACCGGATCGGAAACGCGACACACTGAGAAGATCCGGCGAGAAACTCAGTGGGATGTGTCTATGGGTTAATTCGCTCGTCGAGCCCTTCGTAGCAAGCGACAGGTTCGACGAGGACGGTGACCGGTGCTTGTGGTACCTAAAAGCACGGTTAATGGACCGGGGAGCAATCACTGACGATAACTTTTTATTAAAATCGGACAAATCAAGAAGAGGATTGAGTACAAAAGTGTTACTGTAACATGATTTACAGCTTAACTATATAAGTTACAGATATGAGTATTCGATAAATATTATTTGAAGAAGAAAAGTAATCACCTTTGTCTAGTAGGTACTTAAGTTGGATATTACCCGTCCGAAACAAAAAAATAAAGTCAATTTAGCTTCTAGTGATAGTTATACCTACTCGTAGTAGTCAATTTGCACAGTTTTAAACGGGTTTATCTTTCGTAAAGAAAGCTTTGTGATTATGTTTATTTACTAACGTGCAATGAAATGTTAAGCACAATTATCGTTTTGCAAACGGACCCAAAGGCAATTACCGCTTCTTCATTTACAGGAGATTCCAAGTTATTTAATTAGGTATTTATTCATTAAATTAACTCAACAACACCTATTACGACTACCAGATCGTCAGCTCACCCAAGTCCATTAATTCAATGTTCAATCGATTATAAAACTCTTTATGCGTCGAGGTTATATAGCACACTGTATCATTATTCTTGTGCTGTTATTTTTAAATAGGACTGTTTAAAATTTTGCAGGGCATCGACATAGGCCAATTATGTAATTTTAAACGTTTCAATTATTCAAACTACCATTTCGAGTAAGAGATAAAATGAGAAAGAAATAAATTACTATTCATGATATTACTGTTCTGACTCTCAACAATTTGGTAAGCATGGGTTTAAATTTGACGTAGAAACCGCACCTAGTTTATAATATTTATGATATGATTATAATGAATTTGAAATTTATGATTAATAAAATCATATGTCGTTCAAGGCTAATTTTCTATTAATAACGGCCGTCTGGTGTAGTGATAAGTGACATGGTCACTACACAAGGGGGTCGCGGGTTCGAATCCCGCCAAGGGAAGATATTTGTATGATAAATATAAATGTCTTTTCCAGGGTTATGGATGTATATTAAATATATGTATGTGTATAATAAAAATCTTACATTTATTTCCGTTATCTGGTACCTGTAACACAAGTTCTTTACGAACTTATCACGGGACCAGTTAACGTGGCGTGATTGTTAGTAAATATTTATTATTTATTTATTTATTTAATCAAAAAACGAGGGTATGCAGATAAGACCTCCGCGAGCTGCTGGGTTTGTGATTCGAATCATTTACAGTTGTTTATAATATTACAGTTGTTTTTTATTAATGCTTATTCTTGTCTTATGTTTATGTTTCTAGTACATATCAGTCGTTTGTAGTCTCAATTCATTTTAATCCAATAAATTAAAGCAGCATTGAAGAATACCAATGTTGTCTTTTGTTAATAAATGAAACTATGAGTTTTTGATATAGTCTTGTATTTTTAATGTAGCTTAGTATTTTGTTTCATTTTTTTGTAATTTTATATCATATTACTATTATAACATTAAATTACTGTTCATGATATAGTCTAGTCTCCTTGTTCTTACCACATGTTCAGGGTTAGCTGGAATATCATGCCACGAAGCAAATATATTATGGCAATTAACATAAATAATAGTATTTCAAATAAAATGAAATTCAATAGTATGCGTTACGTGCTTTAATTAATAATTATTCAATCTACCTCACTTCTTAAAATTGACATGTAATGTGTGGCTGTACATATCGAAAATAAAAACAGAAGAGGCACGCCAAGCATCGCGCTCTACCTTGCTCAGTTGCCAGAGTTGACGAGTGAACGCAGCACGCAGCGAATCGCGCGAAAACACCCGAACGCGATCTATCTTCCCGACTGAGCGCCGAGTCGCTGCTGCTTGCCAGCTACTAGTCTGGAGGCGACCGCAAGCGGGGCGGCACGTGCGGTGCGCGCCTCGCGATTTTACATTGTTTTTGTGTGCATCTTTGTTTAAAATCCGATCCGGCCACAATCGATACTAAATTCATGTGAATTAAAACGGTCGAGAGATTTATCTACAAGAATAATAGTGAAACCAGTGACAACTGTGTTTTATAGTCGATGAGATCAACGATTGCAAGACGGTGGCTTATTGACAAGTGAAACTCTCCAACGTCCCATTCATTCATAAGTTGGATATTGTTTGTATGTTCTGTTTGTGGATTATAAACGTGATATTATAATAGTGTATGCAAATCAATAACCCCAGAGTGATAGCCGAGCTCCGAGTCAGCAAAAGCTTCTGTCCTGTGGATGAATATACGCTTGCATATTGATTGGTTTAGTATCTGGATTCACTGGATTTTTAGCCTCTTGATATTGTGAGTGAGTGGCTTTTTAATAATTTGATTAAATAATACATTAATAAATTTTCAGTTTCAGATTAACATGATGCTCAAACTTGACCTAAAAATAGTATTATTACAACACGACATCCGAAACTCTAAGGAATAATTATGAATTACAAATCGGAAGATACATAATTGATTTTATTAAATAATCCTTAAATATTCATTATAAGCATGATAAAGGTAAAATTCTAATTAATTGCCATACTCTACTTTTCAGGACTCACATTAGATTTGCTAAGATCGTTCGTTATGAATTTAGACACAAAGTTGGAACAGATTTCTGATATCGCCAAGGGTGATCCCAATAATATCTGTAATAATTTGTGTCCGCCAATAAATTAAAAGTACTCACTATGTAGGTAACTGAGGCTATGAGTTTATGAATAAAGGTTATACGAGGCTATATACCTACAGATCCCGAAATAAAAACAATTCTCAGAGCTGCAATATTCCGAATAGCAAGTACCAGTTAGCAAACAAAGCATCCTCATATGGCGCCAATAATGGAATTAAATCAATTACAATAGCGCAATATGTTTTAGATTAACCTTTTGTGGGCAATATTAATTTGAGACTACTTGCTGGCAACCCCATCGGCGCAATCACGTATTATCTACGAACCATACCAAATACGATATCTTATACAAAAATAAATACAAGTTTTGTCTACTTAAATGAAAAAAGAAATCTTAACCCAATCTGATAAACATCTCTGAAATCGATGTTCAAATTGGTTATGACAATAAATATAGATTAGCGCGCACAAATACCGCGACGTAGTAAGCTCACAATTAAAACAAAAATATAGATTTTCCCTTAAAATAATAAAATCACAATCGAATAAATATCATTTGTCTTCATACTTTTGTTTGGAGACAGGACTACCTACCTGCCCGGCCTCGTGTCTGATCTTCGGTTACTGTTAACAATGGAATTCAAAACGAGAATTCTAGGAAAATTTACGCACGTATACCTATGTGTTTTATACGACCTTTCAATAACTTACGATCTTCTATATTTAAGGCTAGTATTTTATGCCTTTGTTGTACGCTTAAAGATTAAAGCCGATAATAATAATAATGAAGTATAAACGATTTATATTAAGCCAAATTATATTTCAATCAATTGACACTTGACAAGCACTTTCTACTTAGATATTTCAGATGAATTATATGTGAAGGCGTCAATCGTGTATCCTATATTATGTACTAGATATGTGATTCTAAATTCCAAGTTTGAAAATTGCATTATAAATTAATGAACAAAGAGACAAACAACATATTTCCAAATTAGCAATCAACATTTTAACAAATAAACCGGTCGTAAGCCATTATTAAAACAATCTCGCATTATCATAAGTCTCGATTCAGTCCCTTGGAATTTGTCGGGATCTCGAACAGTTGGACGATGGTCAAAAATTCCCAAATGCTATATGAATCATCAGCTCGTATAGGGCTCAAACGATTTTATCTTGTTTAATCCTTCACTGTGGCGTGTCGACAACGACCATAACATTGTAGCATGTATAATTAAATTTCAAATACAATGAAATTACATAAGTCATTTACGCTTTGTTTCACTCATAGATTATCACGAATGTGTCGTTATCCGTAACCCGAATCTGAAACAGCCTAGATTTCACGTAGCAAATTGCAAACTTAGCTAACCGACCTAAAAAGATTACACATTCAATATCGCAAAGAAATGTTTTATTTAAAATGTATAAATAAATCGATGACATACACTGTGACTGAATGTACATGGCTGCTTCTTTATTATTAAATATAAAATACACATGTATGTGTAAAGTAATAAATAAATAACCAATTTGTTTATAGCCAGAAGTTTTAGAAATGAACAAAGACTAACATAATTTAAATCATTGGTAACGCTAGAGAAATCGTTTTAGAAAGTAATTTAACTTAAGCAACTATGATTTACGTCGAACAAATACACAGTCATGTAAGAATACAATGATCGTCGTAACAATGGATTTAATATTAGCACTCCATCAACTTTAGAATTGTCACAAAAAATCTATGTTCTTTCTTGAGTTAAACCAAGTTTACACAAATTCTCAGAAATAACACTTAGCAGTATCAACACTGGACAGGACATTTCTGGTAACCACCTTAACACTTCACAGTTCCATAAAACTCGTGTGTTTAACTAACGGATGTACCAGTCTATAATTCACATCAAACGGGGAAGTCGACGACTCAATAGAACACTGTTTTGATCCATACTTCGGTTACATTAATGGCGGAAACGTAAAAGGAAGCTGACATTTCCTTCCTGAAAGAACTTTCAGTGAGCTTGAGCTTGTTTTTTTTTAAGATCGATTATTGGGAATTTCACGCTGTATCTTACTAAGGAATACGACGAACTTAACTTGGCTGAGCCTTTGCTCGCCCAACTGTCCTGGTGAAAATGGAAAGGCCTCCGGGCCACCAGTAATCCTTCAATCCAAAAAAAGAAAAGATAAAAAAACGAACTTAAAATTATATTGAGGTAACTAAACTAAACCGCCTATTATAGACATAGATCACGATCTTACCAATTGGGCTGTGTTCCCACGCATTATTACTGGCCCACGCTTTGTAAAGCTTACATTATAACATAATGACACATTATGTTCGGGCGTCGATTCTTTTACTAATGAATGAATACCCAAACAATCAAAATAACAAACAGCTACATGCTCTCAATAATGTTAAAATGAAACACAATTGGGCTCACACTTAACGTCAATATAAATCAATTAAACGAATTGAAATTAATAATAATTGGATTTCAAAGAGTTGTTGGGAAGTGCATACTGAGATATTAATGCAACAGAATAAATATTGGTACAATTGGTCACGTAACAAAATAGATAATAGAGTTAAGCAAGTGTATAATTTGGTATTTGCCAATGGGTAGTTGTAAATTCTAAATATTGAAACGATCTATGCGTGATTTAGGTTGGTAACCTCTAAATGGTATTTAATTTTGTATTTTTATTGTTTAAAATACAATTTTATTTACAGCTTAACTAATTGATAAAATTTATCTTGTTACGTAAGAAGTAATTTATTTACGTTACTATATTAGAATAAAACTAGACTAAAACTGTCTAAAACATCGTAATGGTTTAATCCAGCACCCTATACTTTCATTTCACAATTTCAGAAGCGAGGGAACGATAAAGAAGAAGTCTGATATTTTGTTATATTACGATTGATATATTATATTTATAATTGGCTTTCAATTTAATGACATATCAAGGAATGTTATAAATCTTGCCTAACGAATATTGGAAATCGAAAGCTTATTTATAGTCTAAGCGATGCCAAATGCATCATTTTGAAGTTGACAAAAAGTGGTTATGTACACTTTTCGTTAAATTCTTTAGATACACTTGGAATTTTTCAATAGACTAATCTTACAAATAAACATTTTAAATATTACGATGCATTTAAATTTGCTGCAAACTGCTTTTATAGCTCGTATAGAACGTTGGATCTCTTAAACCATTTAATTCATCTAAAATTGTAGGTATGTATTAATGTGATGATATTTTTTTGTGAATGTCTTCGTTTCAGTGGTTTGTTATACTTAAAAAATCAGATTTACGATTGATGGACGAAAATTACATGCGAAAATCCGAAAGAATAAGAAATGTACCTTTTTGGATTAAATTTTGATACAATGATGAATTGAATCGTCATTGAAGTAAGACAACAATTTTGTCATAGATACTGTATCTACAGAAATTTTAAGTATAGAAGAGACGTATAAAGTAAAAGTAGTTTTTTTATGTATCCAATTATAATAAACAACTGAAGTTCTAGAATAGTATTAGAATTAGAAATATAATTAGATAGTAGAAAACAAAAAAGAGACAACCATAGTAAACTCTAAAAAAATTCCGTATTAAGTTTAAATAATTCTAACATCTAATAAAAAAATTATCGTTGTCCAAACAAACATAAATCGTTGTCCAAAACAAACTGTTAGAATTAATAATCACATCAAAATGTTTATCTAAACGCTGAAGAGGTTAATATCCTCAGGATTTGTTCATGTAACACTTACATTATTATTATTATTATTAAAGGTTTTTATTTCAGAATATAGGAATACCATAAGTTCTTATTAGCAAGCTTATATTTAAAATGTCAAAATATCGTTGAGGTTGGAAAAGATTGCGAACTCAGCGACTTAGAGCGTTGGTTGGTCAAATGATGATATAGTACATACATTGGTTTTTCAAAATTGCGACTCTCTTCATAACAATTTTTGACACCCCTGCAAATTTTAAATAGGATCAGGATGTAAAGGGCTGAATTAAATTAAATAAAAACACGTATTTCTTTTGTCAAAATTATGTGATTATAGACAGAAAGTATGTATAGTGTCAGTTCTTTGCTGCAGACTTTTAACATTGCTCCATAATGCAAAGAAAAAATAATAATAGCACTTAAACTTATTCTACTACGAGTATATTAAAATAATCATTTCAGGCGTTAACATTGATATCGTTAATTTAATGAAGTTCTATAAAAGTAATAATTGATATTTACTTAAGTATTCGACGGACCACTACAAATTTGGGCATCACGTCAATTTTGGCCATTAGTAGGCGGTAAAGTTTGAAATTTGAATTCAACCGCTGTATTGAACGACGTGAGGTCGTTGTCCTCCGTAACTCAGAAACGTCTTCGACATTGAGAGTGCAAGCTTATTTGAGTACTGTATAGAATTGTTTTTTTGTTCAAGAACTTTTTTATTTTCGATCTGTCCTTGTGTATACACATAACAATACATCTTACGTAGATATACTTACCATTTGAAATTCAATTAATTGAACAATTAATGACTACAAAACAATTTTCGTGTTTTCTAACAATATGTCAATATTTTGTGCAAAAAATATATTACGACATGAAGAATGCACAGAATCGTTCAAACCTAAGAAAATGCTGCTACTTT